AATTTTTTTTTGAAGAAATGAACTTTTATTCCCTTTCTTATGAAGGAATTCATGTTTACTGTAAAAATTTTAGAAAATACAATTAGCACAAAAAAACTATAAAATTATTACTGGTCCAATCACTTATTTATATTGTAGTGTATGTATATACTTCTGGTTTTTTTTTTTTTTTAAATAAATGGTTTATTTGAGACTGAATCTGACCCTTGTGCTAAAACCCTTCAAGGAAAACATTCTTTTCTGGTCAAATTTGGACATGAGAAATGTCCAAATGGAGCAGCCCTCTAATGTTCATTTTTATGTCCATGTTTAGTGCTATCTGTTAAGATATTTTCTGCTTAATACATTCATTTCTGACTTTCTCCAACTCAAACATGAAGCTAAACACCGCTTTTTCTTCTGGCAGTGTTTGCTGTAAGTGGGTAGGTGACAGCTGTGTCCCCGTAGGGAGAAGGGTCGTCCCTGCCTTCACAGAGCTAGGTCTGGTTCCGGAGCTGGGCATCAAGCCAGTGCTACAATTAAAATACTTGCAATTGTGGTAGGCAATCGCTTTCCATTTATTTTTTGTCTATTTAAGAAATCAGTTGTACCTAAACTGCACCTTGAATGAGTTGTGGTCGTTGGGTTCTGGCCCTCTTGCACTGTAACTTTTCTCCGTAAGAACTTAGATAAGAATCAAAATGTTGGGAGTTCATTTCTGCCACTTGTGCTGAGACGTAACTTTAGTGTAGAATGCTTCTGACTTTGGTGACGGTGATTTTCCATTGCAAAGTTATCTTAAAAAATTAAAAAAAAAGCTTTTTGAATGGAATTTGAAATCTTAAAGTTAGGCACTACATGGGGTGCTTGCAGAGTAATTCTTTATTTAACACTTGCTATGTGCCAGACACCGTCCCTGGGTGCTGGGTAACAGAGCTGTAGCCGTGTGCCGGGCATTATGCTAAATGCTTTCTGCAGTATCTCACTTAGTCTTCACAACAGCCTTGTGAGGATTTTATTATGATCCCTCTTGTACAGATGTGCAAACTGAGGTACAGAGGGTTTTAAGTAACTTGCCAAAAGCTGATCAGGCAGAGCTAATGTGGCGGACCCAGAGTTCAAACCCAGGTGGTTTGGTGCCAGCACTGCATGGTCAGCCCCCACCGCACTTTGTCTGCTGGTGCTCACTGGGGCACTTGATCTGTAACGCAGGAGAAGGCAAGTTGATAACTGGGGCGTGATTTTTAATGTAACTCTCTCAGGTTTGATTTGCCTATATCTGTGTGAAAGATTTTTGTTTTATTACCGCAACCCACATGTTAACCGCTGCAGTTTGTTTCCAGAAAGATGAAGTTTATCCTGAGGGAGGATGGGAATATCCACACTTTGGTGGGTGTGAGAGTAGGTTTAGATGTCATCAAACAGGAGATTTTCTGGGGTGGCTCGCTAAAGCCAGCCTTCCTCTGGGATTTCTTCATGTAGATGTGAGGATGTTACCTCAGAGCATCAAGAGGTGGGGACCTGGGAGTGATCTGCAAGTGATAAGAGTCAAGGGTTTTTTTGTGTGTGTTGGTTTGTTTTCTTTTGTCTTTTCGTATTTTTGAAAACCTCAACTCTCATACTCCAGTCTTTGGGCTTGCCTTGGTTGCCTGGGTTTAAAAACCAATCCTGCCTCATGATGTGATCTTAAAGTATAAAAAATGATAGAAAGAAGAGAGGGTATATGTCAGTGGTAGAGTGTGTGCCTAGCATGCATGAGGTCCTGGGTTCAATCCCCAATACCTCCATTAAACAAACAAATAAACCTAATTACCACTCCCCCACCAAAAATAAAAATTAAAAAAAAAATGGACGAAAGAAAAGAAAAAAGAAGAGAAAGGAAAAAAGAAATCCAGAAAATTTTTGATAATTATGCTTTGTTGATTTGAGGTGGCTTTTTTGCCTTTTTTCGGTTTTGTTTGTTGTTGTTTGTTTTGTTTTTTGGATTTCCAAATCTGGGGCTTCTCTCTTTGTAGTTTCTTGAAAACTGGAATCTCTTTAACTGGAGTCTCTTGGAAACTGCTCAAGGCATTTTGAGTCTATAGATTTCAGGTGAGAAATGACGTAAATCACATTTCCAGAATCCCTACTCTTGTTTTACTTTTTTGTGAGATGGAAAGGCATTGAAGTTAGTCTTTGAGTTACAGAAGTCAATGCCTGCTTTAAAAAAAAATCATAAAGTAGCATATTCTTTACTAGGTTGCATATGGCAATTTGACTGTAGCTCAGATTAGTTAAGAATAGAACTTAAAATTTTTTAGATTTCTGTAGATTTCCCGAGTGGAGTTCACTGGAGATTTCTTTAACAGTAAAATTTATTTGACCCACAATTAACTTAGTGTGGATTTTATATCTGAATCCAGTATTTTTTCTCCTTAATACTTAAATTAACATAGGCATATGTATTTAGGTTGAATGGGATATTTTTGCAAACATTACCTCTTTTAATTCTCCCAATAGTCCTTTATGGTAGGTTATTATCCTCACTTCATGGGTGAGAAGACTAGGCTTTGAGAGCATAAGTAACCTGTGTATTATCTTCTAATTAGTAAGCGTTGGGGTCATGATTTAAATCCAGAATATCTGAGTACAATTTCTTTATTCTTTGCTTTCCACCAGAGCTGCCTGTGTGTACGTAATGCTCTAGGTACTAGGGAAGAAAGATGGTATGAAAGTAATTATTTTTATGTCATTCTGATCTTAGTAGTGATGCCTTGATTATCTTGCCTACTGAGTACAGGTATCCCCCTGTACTCTGTACTCAGTTACCTTCACCGCTTCACTTTTATGAGAGACTTACATTAGTACCTGTTTTGGCTAACTGAAAGAAGTCCGAGAAGATCTTCACTTTTATGATAAAAAAGCTGTTACCCTTGCTAATGTAGGTCTTTTGTAAAAGCTAAAGGACATAATGAGGACTTTTGAAAAAAAGTAATGCTCTTTGCTTTGTGCTAGTTCAGCTGACAAAAGATTTCTTAGAAGGAACACTCTACCTTCGGATAGTGGGAGAAACCTGTATTGATTATAAACGAAAATAACAAAAAATCTTTTTTGCTATAATTTTTTCCCCCCCAAACTTTAAAACAATCTCAGACTTTTAGGAAAGTTGTAAATGCAGTAGAACTTTTTTCCTTTGATCCATTTGAAGGAAACGGTTGACTGACGTGACGCATCACCACCCCCTGGATACTTGAATATTTCCTACCCACAAGGACCTTGTCCTCAAAGGTTTCAACAACACTGCAGTCCTCAAAATGAGAACTTTGCTGTGGTTACATTCTTACTGTCTAATCCACAAGCTTCATTCAGGTTTAGTCATTGTCCAAATAACATTTTTTTTTTATTTCAAAGAGATCCATTTCAGAATCACATGTTAATCTTTATGTGTCTTTAGTCGTCTTCATTCTAGAAGGATTGCTCAGTGTTTCATTCACTTTTTGCAGGATACGGGCCAGTTATTTTTATAGAATTTTTATAGAATGTTCTCCATTTGTGTTTACAGTGTTTTTTTGTTTGTTTGTTTGTTTTTGTTTTTGTTTTTTGTGGTTAGGTTTAGGTTATGCATCTTTGGCAGGAAATTCACAGAAATGATTCTGTGTTCTTCTCACTGCATCCTGTTAGGTAGCACGTGACATTGATTTGTTTCATTGATGTTCATTTTGGTCACTCAATTAAGTGGTGTCTTCTAGGCTTCGCCACTGTAAAGTTGCTTTGTAACTTTTGTAGTTCATGTGTATTTTGTGGGATGGTGCTTTGACGCTAAGTATCCTGTCCCTCTGCAAACTTTCAATTTATTTTTGTTTGTTTGTATTAGTATCTATTCGAGTTTTCCTATTTTTTTCCCAATGGGTTATAATTGTTACTATTATTATTTAATATTTAGGCTGTTACAGATTTTGCTAAGGGGAGCCCCCTCAGCCTGGCTTCTCTCTTTTTGACATGCCCCATGATTTTTGAAGTACTTCTTTCTTGTTTGGTTTAACAGGATGCTCCAGGTTTATCTTATGCCTTCCCTGCCCCAGCACTGAAATCAGCTCTTTCTCTGAGGAATGTTTCTTTGAGCGGATAATGGTGTATAGAAGCCATGATTTGAGCTGTAGAAACAGTAGACTGGAGTGTCTCTGTTCCTAAGAACCTTACTTGGCAGAGCTGGAGAATGCATATACTGTGTACACACACACACACCCGCACACACATCTACTTCTGTATCTGGCTACTTATCATCTGTCTATATCTCTATATGGTGAAAACGATGTATTCACACTACTAGCTCTGATTCCAGTCCAACACCACGGATTTATGCTGTTTTTCCCCCTTCACATATTTGAAACCCTCCATGTGCCAGGCTGTACATACCCCACACCCAGCAGACATTCTTCTTGACTTTCTCAGGTTCTGACACCCTGAGCTGGGCACCTTCATCCTGCCTGGGCTGTGACTGCCTGCACCAGGCTACTGCCCACACTGATGCCCCTAGCAAGTCTGTGACACTGTGGGCCAGGCTGCCCCTCCATGTGGATAGCCTCTATATCCTGCTTGTCTTTTGGGGGGGGTAATTAGGTTTATTTATTTTAAGGGCGGGTTGAACCCAGGGCCTTGTGCATGCTGAGCACATGCTCTATCAGCTATGCCCTTCCTGCTATCCTGCTTGTCTTGACTTCCATGTCTGGCAGTCGCTTTGTGCAGGCAGGCACTCTCCATGTTGTGATTGGACTCTGGCCTTCCTCCGGGCATGAGGCCCCCTTTGCTTGTTGGGCTCCTGCACCCCACTTTGGACCACAGTGGCTCTCCCTCCCCATCCGGCTCAAATGACTTCCTTGCTCACCTACCCCCATCCCCAGCGGGGTAGGGAATTGGGACAGTTGTTCAGGAAGGGAAGGGGAAGGGGGTTCAGAATATATTTTTAAAATTTGTTTTTATATATTATAAATTTATACACATTAAAAAAAAAAGACAAAGTAGAGTGCTGTTCCTTGTTGGCCATGGTGATGGCTGGGATTGACAGGGAGCTCTACCTGGTGGTCTCCATGCCCTTGGAGCTCACAGTCATCACAGTACGACACAAGTGACCTCACAGAAGTAGTCGGATTAGAAAGTTACTGAGGAATTTACAAATAGGCCAGGGGAGGTTTTTTGGAAAGGATATTTTTGACAGAGAGTAGTTTCTGCAAAGTAACTGACCCAAAACAGCCTGGCATGTTTCATGAGCTATTTTCCAAACCCAGTTTTGAGATTTCTAGTCTAATCTTCTCTTTCTGTAATGGCTAAGAGTAATAGTTCAGTGAAGAAAGAAGAAAAAAAACTTTCATGTTTTATGTGTGAAGTTCACACACAGAGTCAATAACGATTATGTATGCTTTTAGATTTTAAATTGGGCGTCCTTTTCTGAACATGAACTTTGATTTTACCTGAGAAGTCTTTTACCATTTGCTTATGAGCATGAGTGATGAGGCTGTGTTTTATTTTTCTCATACTCTTTTGGTGAGTGGAAAGAACTATAAAATAAGCATTTGAGTTTGCTGTATAATTAAATAAATAAGAGTCCTCCATGATGCCTGCTAAGTTAAAACAAGAATTTTTTTTTTTTTTCCAAAGCATCTAAGCTCTGTGGCTGTTAATTGTTGGGAGGGAAGATGAACTTCAAGCGCTCATTTGAAATGGGATGTGTCTGCCAGGAAAGCAAGGCGGGTAATTGAGCTGCGGAGAGGGCCCCCGAGGATGCATCCAGACTTGTCACTAGAAATGGTTCAAGTGGAGAGCGCTGGCCCTTTTAAAACACTGCCTGTCACTTGAGGATTGGGTCACCTTGAAATGTGTTCATCTTTGAGTTAAAGGCATAAAAAGGCACTTTGAACGTGTTCGGTTAACTTTGGTGTGTGTCGTGTGCGTGTCTGCCGAGGTGTCTGTTGTCAGCCTGCCGCAGCCGGAGCAGGCAGTTCCCTGGAAACCGAAATGTTTCATCTCTGCTCTAGCAAACTATACCGATTTTTTAAATGTTGAGACTCTCCGGGCTGCAGCTTCTGACTCTCTTTGTAGAGTCAGGCTTCCCGCCCCTAAAGCAAAGTCTGAGATAAGAGCAGCCTCTCGTAATTACTTCCTAAAAAGGTGCCACTTAAGCGGCGCTTTGGTTCTCCTGGAATGTGGTTAATGATGTCAAGATTGTGGTCTTTAATGTCTGATGAAAATATCAAAATTAACTGTTCTTGTAATCCAGGTTCAGGTAAGATTTTGAACTGAATGCCTTGTGGACACAAACTCCTGCCCCACGGCCACCAGGTACCAGTTTGTGTGTGTGTGTGTGTGTGAGATTACATTCAGTGTCTAACATTTGGCATTGAACTACGTGTCTGGCATGTTAAAGGTATACAGACCTTTTTATCTCCGATGTAGAGGTCCTTGAATAAACATTACTTACGAATATGTCAAACACTGTTTTCTAGGAAAATAGTGTCCACATTTATAAAGCTACCTTTTTAGAAAAAAAGAAACATGTTACAGTTTCATAGCAGGAAGGCATCTTAGCTGTCAGTCCGACACCCCTGTGTTACAGGGGAGTGAGCAGGGACCTTGGGGAGGTAAACCTGCAGTCACACAGCTGATTGGAGGTAGCACTGACCAGGCTGTCTCTCTCTCTCTACTGATTTGTTCCAGTACATTGCATTGCCTCCCCTGCTATCGGCTTCCTAGGAGCTTGGCTGGGCACTGGCCCTAAATCAGAATCACCTGAGATGCTTATTAAAAATGCAGATTCCTGAGCACCGCACTGCAGGTGCTTTAACTGTCCCACTTAGAGAATAAACCCAGGAGTCTGCATTTTCGCAAGCTTCCCAGGTGGTTGGTTCTTAGGAACCCTGCAGATCCAGATGCCTGCAGTAAGCCGTATAGGGACCCAGATTAATTAGAGATTCAGAGAATCTTCGGTTCCTGTATACAGTTGGTCCTCTGTATCTGCAGGTTCTGCGTCCGCGGAGGGTGGACTGTACTATGCCATTTTTCTGTGAGATATTTGAGCATCTGCAGATTTTGGCGTCCTCGAGGCTCCTGGGACCAACCTCGTGGATACTGAGGGACAGCTATGTTGTTTTTTTTTTTTTGACAAATCCTTTCTCTGTCACTTTTACCTTTATTTTATATCTTTATATGTTACATTTTTATATGTCATATTTTTAAATATTTAGTTTGCAAAGGTTCTGTAGGCAGAGTTGGGGGGAATTCAGCCTATTATTTACTGGTTGAAATACGTGAAGAAACATGTTGAAGCATGTTGCGGAGGCATACTGAAGAAATCAGGAGTGTAAGGCAGCTGAGTAGGCGCATATATCTGAAAAGTGCATTGTATCTGAAATGGAGCATGTTTTAGTCAAATAATGCCAATGGCTAATGGAAAAATGTAGTCAAACTGTGCTGTACATGATGGTTTTGGAAACTGACATGGGAGTAACTTCTCCATGGTTTCAGAGACCGGAGGGGGCAGACCCTAAGGAGTTCCCAGGACCTGAAGTTTCAGTATTGTCTACCAGAAAGAGTAATTCAGTTGATTTTCTGGTGGAAAAAAAGAACTTATTTGTATTTCCTTGGAGATTTGATTTTGTATTGTGGACTCAGGGAGGAAATTTGATTTTGTATTGTGGACTCAGGGAGGAAGGGGACAATCCTCTTTATCTTTGTGTTTGGGAAAGTAGCTCCAGATCTGTGTATTTTGGTGTTTTGGGGGAGATTTTTTTTTCTTCAGTAATTTGGGAGAAACTTAAATGCTTTCTGAAAATTTTCCGAAGGAGAAACAAGAAACATTTTAGTCCTGTATCTTTATAAACAGAGCATATTTTCCTTTAAAAACCTTTTTTGACTCATCAGGAGGGAATCATTATTATAATCTGAAGCCCTTCTGTCCAGCACATACGTATACCTACTGTGTACTCAGCCTGATCTGCGTCTTTGTAAAAGAGATGAGGGCAGTGGAAGGTGGGAGGCCCGGCCTTTGAGAAACTTCTTTGTTCAAACTTTAAAACGTCACTGGGAAAGCTTTACTCCTGCTGAGGGAAACAGACTTTGCTCATCCTCAGGGTATACAGTTGCCCTGTTTCAAATGATGAACCCAGCAACTTTGTGTTTATTACTAACCTTTGGATAATCATGTAAAAATATTGTGGGAAATCTCTTGAGCGAGGCAAAGGTCTAGTAAGGGTTTTTATCAGCGGAAATACCTCCTTGGATCTGGCTCCAAGAAGAAAAAGTCACAGTTCAGTCTGCAAATGAATTTTCTGTTTGACTGGTCCTAATATTACACTAGTAATTACATAATATAGACAAGCTGTGGGTTGCAGTGATAGCAGGTAGACTCCAGGCAGTAGTCATTGGTGCTAATAATACAGAAGATGCCTCAGAGAAAAGCAGAGTTCTCTCTGCTTCCAAAAGAAAGTTAGATCGTTTTGGTGCCAACAGTACTTTTACAGGCCAAGTGAAATTAAGCATCTTGAGGAATGACTGTCAGGGGATCTGTACTTCCCCATGTATGTTTCACCGAGTGCACTGTGGTTTACCTGGAGAGGATACAGGATGGGGACCTAGGCATTTTGATCCTTGCTCTGACAGCACCTGGCCATGTGACCTTGGGAAGGGGACTCTGGTGCACTGGCTTGTACTTCCCATATCTGTGAAACAGACGTATGACAGTGTAGTTTGTCTGTTGTAACAAATGTACCACTCTGTGTGTTGGGGTGGGGGGATGTTGATCACAGGGAAGCTGTGCATGTGTGGGGCAGGGGGTCTGTGGAACGTCACTATATTTTCCAGCTTTGCTGTGAACCTCAAACTTCTCTAAAAAGTGAAGTTTATTTAAAAAACAAAACAAAATACAGATGCATGATCTCTGAGAATCTTTCTGGTTCTGAGGTTCTTTGAGTCTTCTGGTCATCACCTAGAATTACCATTCTGTGGAACTGTGGGTCTGTGTGATATCCCCTGTGGTTAGAATTCATACCTTTTCCTTCCTTCTTTGGTCATCATAGTCCTCTCTGGCTTTCAAGGCTCCAAGTTCTGGTGATCAGTTTACATTTCCCCCAAGTCTGTGATGATTGAACATGATTGAATACATTGTTCTATGCTGTTTTTCCTCTCTCTAGATGTTTCTTGGATGTGCATCTTGACTTCATAAGTCTTTTGTGTAAGCAGAGCCTTTTATTTTGTAATCATTCCTCTGGATGGCAGAGTATTGATTTATAGTCTTAATGTTTCTTTCATAAAAAAATATCTTGTAGGCTCACCCCTTCCTTTTTTCTTCTATTCCTATGCTTTGCTCATTTTACTACACACCTAAGTCATAACAGTGGCCTCATACGTCGCTGATTTCTCTACCAGTGGTCTTTTCTCATGTGCCCATGGAAAATCCACATTTGGTGAAACTTTTCCTTCTTGTTTGTTCAAGTAGAACAGATTACATTTATCTTCTCATATTTGTGATCTTGATTATTTGGCTCCTTTAGGAAGCATTTCTGTTTCATGAAAAAGTATATAATCTGACTTAGTCAAAACAATATATTCACTGTTATTAGCAGAAAGGAATGGTTGAATTCGTGGGGACAATCAAATAGTGCTGTCAGGAAGTGATGAATGAGTTGAGCTAGTTAGGAATTCTGACAGGACTGGAAATGTCTTTTAAATTCTGTTAAAATTGTATGTCAAATAGTTGAATTAAATAAATATGTTTTTCACTGCAAAGATTGAATTTACAGCATCCTAGAAATAACTTGTGTTTGGAAGCATAGAGACCTGTTTGAGTCTTAGCCCTGATGTGTGCTGTGTGACCTTAGACAAGTAATTTAATCTCTGAGCTTTAGTTTCCTCATCTATAAAATGGAACTAATGCCTTCATGGCAGACTTAGTATGAATATTCAATGAGAAATACAGTTAAATCACCCTTAGCTTGATGAGTGACCAATAAATGGTAGCCATTATGCCAGTAATCTTCCTAAAATACTGCTTTGGTTATTTCACCTCCTCCATAAAAGCTTGGTTTATCTCTTCTTCTGGACCGTTCACCACTCAGCTCCCGAG